GAACATAAAATATAAAATAAATTCATTTTAATATAAATCATTTAAATAATTAAACAATAAAATTATTTTATAATATTGAAATATTTCATAAATATAATAAGAAAGAACAAATAAAAGAATAGAGAAAAATAAATAAAAGAATAATAAATAATAAAATAAAATAATCAATATATTAAAAAGAAAAAAAGATAATAAATAATATATATAAATAAAAATTATAAAAATAAAAATGAATAAAATAAATTGCATAAATAAAATAAAATTAAATAATTTATATCAATAAATTAAACCATTTTTTATTGCATATTTCTAATTTCTATAATAAAAAATACATCCATTATTTCATCATTCTTTTCATCATTTATTATCTCTTTTTGAATTATTCATTTTTATCTTCTTTCATTTTATATTCTCAACTTTCTACTTTTATTCTTTTCATCTTCTTCTACTTCATAATTTCACTTTTTTCTTTTATATCATTCTTTCTCTTCATTTTTCTCTTATTTCCTTTTTTTCGTTGCCATTTCATTTGATTTATCATTATTATTTCTATCATTATTATTTCTTATAAATTCATATTTAAATAATGTTAATCTCATTGATTCATTGAATTGAATTGATGTTATTTGTATTATCTGAATGTTCTTTTTATTTCTATCATATCATTCTCTGTTTATTCATATTTCTATTCTATTTATCTTCTTGATTTGTATGTATTAGTTGTTATTTGTTTTATTATAGTTTGTTACATATTTTATTCAGTGAAACTTTGATTAAATTGTTGTGTTGATTCTTCTTATTAAACAGTTTTAATAATAATACAAATGATATTTAGTTTCACTTTTCTATATTTCGTATTATTCTTTTATTTATTGATGTTATTATTTAATAGCCATTTAATCATTTATGATGAACATGAAGAATATAAATCACATAAATAAACAATGTGAAATAATATTAATTTAACAATTAAATGATATTATATTATTAAAATCATTTAACTTCTATTTGATTCGTTCAAAATACAATTAAAATAATAAATAATTGAAATGAATCAACAATAACATTGTGATTGAGAATATGATAAAACTAGAATAGAATTTATTTTATTAAGATTCTATTTTGAAATATTAATTGAATCAATGTATATCAAAATAAATACAATATTCAATGTATATAAAATAATAAAATAACCATTATATTATAAATGAAATAATCAATTAATTTTATATTCAACCATTCAATAATTGTGAAATGTGAAATAATTAACATTCATTTATTATTTTATACAATTCATATCAAAATGAAATGAATATAATGAAATATTGATATAATACATTAAACAAGATACATTTAATGAATATAAATTAACATAACTTTAATTAGTATTAAGAATATTAAAATAAAGAATTAATCACAATAAGAAAGAATTAAACAAAATAAATGAATAGAAATAATATACATAATAAATAAACAAGATTAAATAAACAAGAAATAGAATAAATTATACAAGAAATTCAATAACATACAAACAATTAATAGAAAATAAATGTATTAAAAATAATTGAATTAATTTTATTGTAATAAGCATTTCTTTTGTTTGTTATTCATTTCTTCTAACATATTTTGGTTAAGTACAGTACCACCAGCACCAGCACCAATAACAGCAGCACTAGTACAACTACTACTAATACAAGAGTAGGGGGCGAAGAGACCTGGCATGATTGGTATTCTAATATTGTGTGCTCTTATTGTTGAGTGTTTAGAAAAATGTTCATTTCCTATTTTTGTAATTGAAGATGGAATATTAAACTCATTAATATCTTTCTTTTCAATATTCTTTCTATTGATTATTATTAAATGTTCTGGTATTGAAATACTAACTAACACTGGTTCATTCATAAATATTCTTTCTTTACTAACATATTTGAGATTTTCTATATTCATAGATGTTAATGATGTACATCCATAAAAACATTCATACCCTATTTCACTAATTGTTGTTGGTATGGTGACAGATGTTAATGATGAACATTCACTAAAACATCCATATCCTATTTCTTTAACTCTTGTTGGTATATTTATATTAGTTAGTTCAGAAAATTTTTTAAAACATTCATCTCCAAGTGATTTAACTTCTAGTGGTATTGTATTTCCATATTTATTTCTATCTGATCTTGTATACTCTATATTTTTACAGATATTTCCTGATTCTTTTTCTTTTAAATATGTTGAATAATTAACTTTATACCATATTATTTCTTTAGTTATTCTCCCGTCATCAAATATTTCATCTTCTTCATTATAAATATGAAATGTTTCAATATTAGGAAAGAATCTTCTTGAATAATAATTTAAAGGAATTGGATTAAAATGAAATCGTTCCATATTTCCTTGAAATCTTTTAATTCCTATTTCTAAATTAATAAAATCTTCAATATCATTAAAATATTTTGATGTTATCTTTATAGCATAACGTCTTAATTTACTTTTTTCAGTCATTCTTTTATTGATTTTATTATTATATATTATTCTTTTGATATTTATTATCATTTCTCTTTCTGATGAATATTCTTCTTGTTCTATCTTTTCTATTATTGTTTTAATATATGTTTCTTCGTTGATTTCTTTATATCTCCATCTTTTTGTGTTTATTTTGTTTTCTTTTTCTTGTTTTATTTTATTATTTATTATTATTCCTTTCTCTTCTTTTTCTTCTGATATTATTCTATTGATTTCTTTATTTTCTTCTGTTGTATTGTTTGTTCTTATAGTATTTATTATTCTTATTTTTATCTTATCTCTTTCTTTTTTAATATTTCCATATGTTATTTCTGTATTTTCTATGATAATGATTGGTGTTTCTATGTTATATTCTTCTGAAAGTATTCTTTCAATTATATGATATTTCCGTATGATTTGTACATTATTTAATCTTCCTAGTTTTGTTGAATTTTCTATTCTTCTTTCATTTCCTTGACTTGTTCCATTAGGAATACAAATGATTGTTCTTTCATTTTCTCCTTTCTTTTCTACTTCTTTCTTAATATTATTGAATATCATTGATAATTTACTTTCTGGTTTAATCATCATTTCTACTCCTTTAATATTTTCTTTTCTAATTTTCACATTCTTCTTATCATTGGAAATGATTTCTTCAATTATTTTCTTTTCTTCTTCTTTTAAATATTTCATTCTATCAATTCTTTCATATTCATTTCCATCATACAAATACACGTCCATGTCATCATATTCAATATCAATTATCATTGTTATTGTTTTACGTTTCATCTTTTATTTATTTTTAAGTTCATTAAACTGTAACTTATATTTATAATTCGAAAACATTCTTTTTTATTATTTTTGTTATTTTTATTTAATAAATTATTTTTCAATTCAAACAAAACAAGTTTTATTATTATTAATATTGTGCAATGTTCTTTATTCTTGTTAAGAAAACTAAACATGACATTAACATTCAAATAGATAAAGAAGAGTGATGAAGTCGTAATAAAATGCATAATAATAATGATAAAAGAAAATGAAAAATGAATCGAAAGAAATATTAAATAAAAATGAATAAGAAAACACGAGTAAAGATAAAGACAATAAAGATAACATCAATAAGAAATATAGAATAATATTATCATTCAAGTTAAAGAAATGAAAATAGATAAATGTGTAAATATTAATTACTACTGGAAAAGGAAAGAATCAGATAAATTAATAAGAGAAATAAATAATAAATGGGTATGGTCAAGAGAATAGAAAATCTACAAGAAGATATGAAAATGATTTCAATGTGTATGCATTACTATCTCCAAAATAAATTTATAGGAGATAAATTTGATGAAATAAATGAAATCATAAAGAAAATAAATAGATTAGAAGATCTAATCAAGGGAAGGAGATGGTACAGAATAAAATGCATCATGAGATTGAAAGAACAAGATGTAGATGAAATTAAAATGAAATCACAAGAAAGAATAAAGTACATAAAATATATGATGATAATGATTAAAGAAAGAATTAAATTTAATAAAAATGAAATTGTCAGAATCAATACAAATAAAATCATGTTTGATTCTAATAACAAAATTAAAATAAAGAAGAAACACAAAATGAAATATACCCAAATAACGATATTACTTTAGAATATTGGAAATCGTTATATGAAACACAGGTGATATTAAATAAAGAACATTGGAAAATAAAACAAATCACCTCGTGGAATGAAAGATACAGGAATTATGATAGTGTCATCATCTCAATGGATGATTTAAATCTAAGCCTGATGAAAATAAGTAATTGGAAAGCACCAGGTATTGACACTATATATGGGTATTATTGGAAGAGAATGTCATCATCAAGAGATTCCATTCTTAATATATTCAATGAATGGTTAAACTTCAATGAAAACATCCCTCTAGACATGGTAAGTGGAAGAACTATACTAATCCACAAAGGAGGTGATATGAACGATGTCACTAATTATCGTCCTATCAGTTGTACAAATGTAATTATGAAAGTATTTACCTCCATATTGAAAGATAATATTCACAATAGAATTAACATGAATAATGAATCATTAAAAATTAGTAAAAATCAATTGGGATGTAAACTCCAATCTCTTGATGATAAAGAAGGATTAATTAACAATTATATGTTAAAGCAGCAAAAAGAAGAGAAATACACAAAATATGTAGAGTCATATTATGACATTAAGAAAGCATATGAATCAGTAAATCATGAATGGGTAATAGAATCACTAAAATATTTTAATGTAGAGGGAGTCATCATAGACATTGTAGAAAGTATGATGAACAGATGGAAGATATTCATATGATACAAATATAATGAATATCTAGGATGTATTAAACTGATGAATTTTACACTATATTCATTATCATTTCTACTCTTCATCATCCAAATGAAAATAATTTCTCAAATAATAGAATATAAGTTAAATAATATAAATCATATATTATATAATGAATAAATGAGAATAGTCAAACAAAATAATGAAGAAATGAGAATAATCAACAAAAAAATTAAATAAGTAATAAATAGAATAAAGAAAATAAAACAAGAAATAAAGAATATTAATCAAATAATATCTTGAAATGAAAACATCACAATAATTGAAAGAGATGAAAAGTATAAATATTTAAATATATGATATTCAGATGAAATTAATGATATATTTAATTATAAAATCATCAAATAAAAGATGATGAAGAAAATAGATGAAATAAAATATGAAGAAAGTAGTAATATAAGATATATTACAATAATTAATAATGAATTAATCAATATTGAAGATATTCATTATCAGTAATAAAATAGAATGTAATTTAGATAAAATTGAAATTAAGATAATAAAATAAATAATAAATACAAAATATATTATTGTTGGTAACTCTAAA